CTGAAGTGGCTTGGACATTTGTTGTACATGCTGAGCCACCACCTACTTCGACGTACAGTGCTAGCAGAAGTTGGATTACGTTGGAAGAGGGTTCAGGGTCGCCAGACATTGTCTTAGCCATATGGGGAGATACTGACTCTCTGATTAGGGTCCTTGAGATCATAGGAATCAATGGTTGGAGACTGTCGGTGACATGGCAGAAAATCTGTGACCATAGCACAGATGTATTCACTCTTTGACGTCTCCGCAAGCTTGAACATTTTAACTAACCTTGATTTTCAAATCCCTTCTCCCTTCATACATCTTTATATCCTTTGATACAAGCGTTTCTTTATCTACTTGTTGTTTTTGTGCTATTGTGAAGTGCGAAAAGTTGAACCACTGGCCTTCTGTGTGAGGTTCTACGTTGATTTTGTCTGTCTGTCTGTCTGAAATGTATAAATTTTACCTGTTGAAAGATATCAGCATTATCTGTACTTCAACCGCAGATGATGCATGTACTTTTATGTTGACCGTTAAATGTGTAAATGCTCTGTAGGGTCGTTAGCAGTTTCTAAAGACTATAGGTGAAATAATATGAGTAAAGATTGATTTGACCAACTCAAATGGATTCACTAATTTTCCTACTCCAGATACTTAACACTCTCTTATTCCAAATTGGTATTCATCATGGGTTGAAATCAATCGGAGAACCGTAGAAAACATGGGAGCGCTGTACGGCTATTTCGTCTGAGTATGGGATTCCTCAGCAATGAGAACTCAGAACCTTCAGATTTCGTGGTGAGCACGTTACTACTAAGCCACTAGGTGAGAACCCAATAGTCCACATTTTCCTATTTCTGTGAAATCACAATATAGCGTGACCTTCATCAAATACCATCGTTTAGTGTTCGTTCTCCTGTCTGACCTTTGTCTACCGCACTGATCATGAATTCTCATTAGAACTTTGAGAAATCTCATCTCGAAACAACTCACTAATGAGCACTGTACATTAATTCTATACCCAACTCTTTTCTTGTTTAATAAAGTAAATGTATATTGATTAGTGAGTTAAGAAATACAAAATTAACTATATAATGGCATTCTGTTATTGACGTAAGATTTAACACTACTGCATACACCAATTCAAGCGGTGAGGATAGCAGATTAAAGGCCAACAAGACGGGATCTGAATGAGTGAAAATATTATCGAAATTTTCGTAAGGATTTTTCGAACGGAGAACGGAATAAAAGTGTACAACCTAAATAAAGATAATACTGGAAGGCATTCATATTACTGCGATTGACTCTGGACCGTATTGCGTAGAGTTTTCAACCATTGGTTTTTCCTGTTTCGCACAACCCAACCAGAAAGCCTATAGTGCCCTAATAATAGCTAAAAGGTCTATAAATCGGTGTCATGTTTTGGTCTAGTCACTCTCAGGTTTTATATCAGGTTGCTAGGGCTCTGTGCCTAAACTCTACTTAGCTCATATGATAGTTCCATCACACGTAGCTATATTACTATAAAAAACGGTTGTTCAAATGCCTTGATTCCTCAGAAACCTACTGCAGTTCATGACTTACTTTTCGCAACTGAATAAAGTAGTGTAGAGCTGAACTTTGCGTCGCACAATTGAACTTTAGTAGGTGATTTGATATTTCACCAATTCCGACGGTAATTTAAACTGATGAAAGGCAATTGAACCTTCTATGTGCATACGAAGATTTCATCGGTCACCCACCTCTCGGCTCATGTGAAATGTTTAACGTACTCATCCACCTTACTTCGTAACCTCAGACCTACTGTTGATATAGTGAAGAAGTAAACAAATCTCTCATATTTTGATATTGTCGCTCAAAATGTTCAGAAGGTCCTACATTTTGTTAGTGTTTTCATTTTTCAGGTCTACGTTTTCTGCATACTATAAGCAATTCAAGGAAATTTTCCTTCAAAGTTTGATAAGGAAAAGGAAATTTTCATGATATACGTTGAGTGAATGTGGAAATCATGGCATTGTTGATTATCATTTCGACATAGACACATCATAACGTAGCTTATCATAGTTGTCAACCTCTAAATAGATGTCAGATCATTACAAAATTAGAATTGTAGGTTAGTAAAGCTGGTTCATTTATAGTTATTATAAAAGGGTTTCTTCTTTATTGATGATAAATGAGGACAATCGGCTTTGGGAACTAGTTGGATGGGATCATGTCTGATTTTCATACTTTCATTGTCTCACTAGTAACTCTGGTCACGATCTTTTTCTAGTTCATCAGCAACCGATATATTTTATCGTTCCAGGTTATTTACAGCCTCTTCAACCGGAGTTTGAAACCCTGTATCAATCTTCCATTTAAAGTGTTACTGGATAACCAGTGAACTAAGAGTAACTGGAGACCAGTTGTAATATTGTTTCTAAGTGTTCTACCCGTAGTTTGTCTTCGACACAAGCACTCCATGTTCGGAAGTATATTTTTAGTTTTATAAAATATGAATTTAGAGGTAAACCCTCGACCGGTAGCTGCTACCTTGACGTGGTGGTCGGGCTTGTGTATCACAATGACCCGACGATCTATGCTGGTGGAACGCTTGTTCCCTTGAGGTCCTACCACACCAGAAGGGCTGTTGAATAGTGGAAAAATGAAAAGAAGTTATCTTTATAGTGTATATTACTACGCTATAATTGGGGTCTAAGCGAGAAGTCGTACTGCCGACTGGGTAGGAGTATGACACCAATAGGGTGTTTCTCTTCGATGACCAACAGTGCCACGCTGATCTTGCCTTCCCAACAGGAAAGGAGGGTTAGAAAAGGTTGGCCCCAAAAATAGCGCACTCCCGCCTCATCGTGGCATGCCATGACTGCCACAAAGATTCATGGTCAGATTCAAAAGCAGAAAATCAAAATCCAGAAATTGCCAAAAGGTCGTGTGTGACAGGCTTGGACTCTGCGGTATCACACTATCCTTTTTTTTTGAATCATTTCAAGAAGAACTAACATTTCATAGTGTGCTCAATCGGGAAGTGTCAACCGCCGGCACACTTTCAGTGGTACACAAGATCCAATCAAACATAACCTATCCTCCTTAACTCTGTCTTCTTTACCTTCACCTGCCGATACTGATATTAAGCCTCTTACACCTCCAATCTCATTCCAGTACCATTGCGAACGATCAAAGCCACCGAAACCTCACTCTTAGTCTCCTATGACCTCACCATCGATTTCATCTAGAAGCTTTCAACGTCCGAACTCTATGCCAAATCGGACTGCAAGCATCGTTCACCACAACTACGCAGTCTCTAGCCATGGATGTATGCTATTTTTCTGAGACACTTATACAGAACCTGAGTGCGGTTATTAAGTTGACTTCACCTGGCCCTGGTAGTATATTTTCAAAATTCACCTTACCAGGACCCGGTGACCCAGTGGCTAGCTCTCGTGGAGTTTTTGGTGAAGGCATAGCATTGAGCTGTAGGACAGAAAGTGCACTTTTCGACTGGATACCAGTTAATAGCCGTTTATGTGCTTTTCGACTGAATCTATCTGTAAGAACTGGGAACTGGAGTCGTGAGATTATACGATGCCTATTCGTAATCTCCTGCTTACGCATCCACTGATTTCAGTTCGGATGATGCATAAGATGAATTCTATGAAAAAGCCGTCAACTTTTCAGCAGAAAGCAAGGCAGTCATAATGGTAGGTGACTTTAACGCTCAAGTAGGGAAGGTGAGTCAATCAGAAAGGCGTCTTGAGGGTATTATGCCAACGCACCGACAACAGTGATCGTCTGTTACATTTGTGTAGGAGGTTCTACTTTGATTCTGTTTGTCTGTCTGTCAGAGGTGAATCAGAGCGAATGATTGAATTCATGCATTTGCATATCTATATGCGGTATTGGTTGGAGAATGCATGAGTAAGTCGTTTGAGGAAAACATATTCAACAATTACACTCAAAAAGACTATTGTTACTTTGATAGGTGTTTTGAGAAATATATGTAGACCGTTTTAATCTCACTGAAGTGTTTTCTTTACTGTTATATACAATTCGAAGTCGCTTTCTTTCAGATTTACTCTCTACTAAAGAAAATTAAATTAACTCAATAAGTGACACCTTTTAAATGATATCTAGACATTTATAGGTATGCAGACATTGTAAGTTGACTACAAAAAATTTCTGAATTATGCTATATAATACCGTTTACGTCACTATGTTTAAAGGTGCGTATGAGTAAACGAAACAACTGCTCTAAGTGAGATACCGTAAAACATTTTTGACAATTCAATTATGCTTAGTTGTAATTGACTATGCTTATCACAAACAAATACATATGCGCATAGATAACTACCACTTGTTATCAGCGACTTGAAATAAAGCAAGTCAATTAGTTTTGATTGAAGAAAACAGTATTTAACTAGTGTCTAATTTGATTAATTATCCCACAAAATATGCTTTTTAGAATATATGAAGCGGTTATAGGGTTTTGATGATGTGTTCGGGTTTGGTGGGATCACCGTTGGAGCAACTTTGAGTTCAGGTGAAAGGTCCTAAGCAAGACATGCAAGTTGGTTGTGAACGTTCATAGAACGAGAGGGTTTGGATGTGTACCGCCCTTTCTGATCCACCGTCTACCTCGACGTGCGATGCTAGGAGAAGTTGTATTAGGTTAATCAGACCAAGTCGTGGCACCACTCGATAAAGTCCTTGACTGTTGGTCTGAGCCATATTGGGACATATAGACTACTGGGCTACAGCCGCTGAAGCGATAGAGATGAGGACTGTTGATGAACATGGCTGAAAATCGATTACAATGGCTTAAATGTATTCACTCTTTGATGTCGTCTAAAGCTTGAATATTTGCACATACCTTTATCCTTAGGTTGTCTATTCTCTCACACAGATTTGTCTCTTTTGATATCACTTTTTTCTATACACCTGTTATTTGTATACCGCTGTGTTAAGTATGGTAATATTACTACCAGATTTTAAATATTCTCCTTTACTTGATTTCTGCACAGGTATTCTGGTGTATCTATCAAAAACAATCTTGTGCCACATCTGGGAAAAAGGAATCTGAAATCATACTCAACTCAGAAGAAACATCACATGTAGAAAAATCTAAATGTTCAGTACAAAAAGTTTATCCTTCACTATCAAATTCTGAAAAGTTGGATGATTGTAAAAAGGGTAAAACTTCATTGTCTGGATTATATAAATTTTGTAGTATTTTCCCTGATTGCTGTCCAGTATTTCGTCTAACTACAAAAAATTCCGATGACAGTGTTTTGTTTAATGCACCAACTAATCAGTATGGCACAAATTCAATTAGTGATACTGTTAATTCACTTCAAGATTGTAAGGTTTTGGAATCCAGTGTGAAGAAGTCTGAAGTATCACTTTCTCCGTCTATTGCTAATCGTCGACATCAGACACCTCCTCCACGTCTAATTACTCCATCTCTCATGGCGACCAGTCCACCAGTTGAAACTCAGTTGTATCATATTCAACCGAAAGATTTTGTATACAATCAAACATGCAAACCAATCCCTACTTCACTCATCTTACAAAATGATAATTTGGGTACATTTACAGTTACTCCAACACAACTATTACAGAACCCATTATTGTTAAACACATCAACAAATTTGTTACACTCTCACTGTACTCCATGTGAATCAGAATCTGTTCCATGTAGTCAAACTTTGGTTACAACACAACCGTCAAGTCTATTGAACCCACCGTTTTGTCATACTAGCTGTCCAACTTCAAACTCAATTGCTCAGGAATCTTCTAATACTACTAGTTGTAGTGGTGCACAAGTCCCAAGAACATACCCAGGTGTTGGATTCACTACAAGTCGTCGGGCAAGATCTAAAGGTCTTTTAGAAAGGTAAAAAACTTTTACTGAACCCATTAGTGCAACTGATTATTATTATTATTATAGGTATTATAATTATTCCTATTTCTAATATTGTATTGTTTAATTTAGGGATTTACAGATTACTGACTAATCTATAGATAATTATCATTACACTGGTTTATTCACTCAGATATCAATAATTTCATCATTCAGTCTACTTCTATTCTCCATCAGTTTTCATGTATACCTCTTGAGTATTATCACCAGTAGGTTACAAGTTCAAACTCCGCCCTACCTACCGAAGTCTGGACAGCCAGGTAGTATCATTAGCCCTTACACAATAGGTGGGGCTCACTGTCTACTGCACCAAGGTGCACAGGGTTGCTGAATGGATTATCACCAGGCTGAAATATCTGGTAAAAATTCGTTACTCAGTTGTATTGCATTAAGAATAGTGAATTGACTGACAATAATACGAAATACGAGAATGCTACTAACGCGAAGAGATATTAGAAGGGGATACGAATATTAAGTGTTCTCCCTCAGAACCTGATACATCAATGAGCCACGAAAATCAGAAGACAAGAACCAGCCTATGATTGTAAGTAAGACAGTGTATTTGACAAAAGCACATCATTTATATACAGTTTTCACCAGCGTATAATGCCACTAGGTCAGAAGTTGTATACTTATTTTGATTGGTCAACTTTAGGGTGAAATTATCTAGTAGGGCTTTTCCTGCCCACACGGTAGCATGAAACTAAGGTTGAAATCCTGTAACTTGTACCTTAGCGGCTGATGACTTAGAACGTTGATTTCAACTAAGGCTACTTCCTATCACTTAGTTATAAAAAAATCTTCGGTATATTTTTTTAATGGTACTTACTTCTTAAATCCCTTTGTCCTTCAGTGGTATTTTCATTTGGTAGACATGCATACAAAAGTTATGCTCTGTTTTGGGATTTATACGATCCGATATAAAGTAATACTTTTACGGGTTATTTATATATATATATATATATATATATATATATATATATATATATATATATATGCCAAGACTTTCTTCGTGTTTGAGAAAACTATCTGAGTTTTTTTTTCCGCTCAGTACAAAAATTCACAGTTAGTATGAATGATAATAAATAGTCCAGTTTAAGAATTATGTGAGATCTTTTTGACGTGTGCACTTTCTGAAGTTATGATGCTGTATTTGAATGAGTTAGTCATCAACATCATTATCAACATAGGACCAGGCATTACTGCGTAACGGTCCGAGTTGCCACACCTCATATCAGCACATCAAGTAAAAAGGTAGTGAAGTACAAGATGAAGAAAAGAAATTTCAGTCAAAAGAAATGTAAAGTACTAGAAGAGAGAAAGGAAGAATGAGAGAGTGGCGAGATTCGTTATAGCGTCGTTAAGATGAAAATAATGTGTGTATACATCTGCACCATTGACATCGGTTCTGACCCATGTCACCTAGAGTCTTCAATTATCGGTTTCTCTTGTCCCGAGAACCCCAACCAACTAGTTAGTCTGCATCACCCTGAATGGCTCAAACCAACAGTCAGAGACTTCATACATTGGTGTCATGTTTTCGTCTGACTGCTTCGAACCTTTCTTCAACCTGAAACTACTTCGGTCAACATTGTGTCACAAGGCAGACGGCAACTAGATATACCTAACACATGTCCCAACCACAGCTATCTCAGTCGATGAAGGTTCATAACCTAGTCAACCAACTTACCTCTTCTCCCTAAAACTCTACACCTCACTTCTGCGTTACTCAACTCGAGTGGTGACACCACGGAATACGTACGACCTATACTATGGAGGTAACGATGGTCAAACACTTGAAGCCTTCTCATGTCTTCCACCTTCGATGGCCATGTTTCACAGCCATAGAGGAGAACAGAGTGGACTGCTGTGCAGTACACATGACCCTTAATAGACAAACGGATATCACGGCGATGCCACATGTGGCATAAGTTGGTGAAAGCCAATTGAGCCTTTGTATTTGTCTGCAGAGATTTCACCGTCCACTGAGTCACCAGAGCTGATTCCACTTCCCAGATAAGTGAAGTGGTCAGCACACTCAACCTCTACACTCTCTATTGTTAGCCGTAGTACCGTTGAAGATCAGTTCTGTAGCAGAACTTACATTTGAATGGTGAGAACCGCGTGCGAAACATTCTCAAATTGCCATACTCTCATGCTAATCCTTCTAGATTTTCAATGATTCAGTCCTGAATGTTAAATTGCCAAGTGGAGATCAATAAATCTTGACAAACCTTCAAACTGATAAAATTCTTTGTCCTCCCACCATCAATTAAAATAAAATTGATACTTTTGTCATATTTAACTACAGTATTATCACAATCTTATTTTATATCTAACATTTCGTATGTAATACACGTTCAGTGTGTTGCATACATTACGTGACCAGGTTTTTCATAGCAAATTGACCGATTGACTTTCTCTGTAATCATGTGTTTTAATCATCAAACGTTCAGAAAACAATTAGATTGTTTTTAATGTTTTGCTTAGTTAGTATAATTTTTCTACAAATTTTTATTATGTTGACAATTAAAAAAGGGTTAAATCGGACTATGTCATATACATGTTGGAAAAACTGAATGCTCTAGAGAGATGTTCAATGAAATAGAATGACTCATATACGTCTAAAGAATATTTTGCATATTAGAAAAAGTAGATTTCTTGTGAACTGAATGATTGCTTGATAAATACTTCTTATCATGGACTGGTATCAGTTGGAGAAACATTGCAAACTTAAGAGCACTGAAAGGCTTTTTCGTCCCAGTAAGGGACTCTTCAGTAATGCTCACCTATGACCCCATCAAGGAGCTGCTATTGTTGTTCATGAACATCGTTTAACATTCTATCTTCTGCCTAGACGTCTTAAGTTTTTCGGCTTGATATTGACAAAAGCAAATATATGGAGCAGTTTGCAGTACCTTCAGGTTCTATGGTCAGCACATTATCATTAATCCACTGGGTTGGAATCCAATGGTCTATGTTCTCTACTTCCATCTATTCAGGATACATGTTGAAACTTCGAGAATCACTTCTCGAAACCAGTCACCAATGAGCACTAGTTTATTTCAATTTTGAGGTTTGTGGGGATTTATTTATTGATTTCAGGTTGATATTATTATTCATGGATTGAAATCAGTTGAAGATACACTGGAAACCCAGGATTTTCATCCAGTTAAAATGATCGTGTGTGTGTAAATCAATAGACAAGACACTTTATTATTACCAAAGTTCTACCATTGACACGTGTATTCAATTAGGTCGTTTATCGTATAGTTCGAGTCTATTTACTACACTTTTTTCATTCAATAATACACGATTTATTCACCAGTGAGGGGTAACCCATACACCTGAAGGCTTAGCGCTGATCGATCGGGGTTTTACAATATGGTCAACTAAGAGAAGTAACGCGATATTGCAGTGTTAATTGGTGGGAATCAGTCAGTAGACATGAGACCCTGAACCTAAGTTTCGTGTTTGTTGACGCTAAGGCTTATCTGTGATCATAGGGAAACTGGTATTACTTTGGTGGCACAAACATAGGTCGCTCAATGTTGAAGTTACAAACTTAATCAGCAAACTATTCAGGTCACAACTGTTTACTATTAGGTAATTCATATGCCTGTCTTCAATAGAATGTCTTATTTCAAAGCCTATAATGTTCAGTTTTGGTTTTAGGGATCATGTATTTAACTTACAGGTACCGGTTTAAAGTTGATTCCTCTCTAAATATTTATGTGACAGTATATTTGCTTTCAGTTTGGGGAAGTAGTTACGTTACAGTTCATTGGTTTAGGGGAACCAACCAGCGGGTCATAGTTCTGAACGCTGTTCCACCTATTGAGGTTTAGGCCAACAATTAGTATAATTGGTCCTCATATAATTATTATTATTATTTGTCCCTTGGGTTCCTAATGGAACATAGGGCTTTAGTAGCACTTCTCCAGTGCACTCTGTTCTCGGCAAACTTTTGAACCTGGCTCCACGACAGCCCAGAAGCTTTCGTTTCTTCCTCACACGATCTCCTCGATGTCACCTTCGACGCCCAACTTATCGCTTCCCATCTGGGTTCCACTCAAGGGCCTCGCTTGGCGCGTGATGCCTTCAGTCGGTCTTCTCAGTTCATGCCCAATCCATCTCCACTTCCTTCTGCATATTTGTTGAGCGATAGGTTCGTTGGTTCGTTGGTTGGTTGGTTGGTTGGTTCGTTACCGGCCAGAGTTCCTTGTTGCTTATTGTTTCTGGCCATCTGAGCTTCAGTAGCGAGCCAGCTTAGGCAGTTGTTGATGAATGTCTGTAGTTTGCTGCAAATGCCTTTCGTAACGTGCCAAGTCTCTGAACCATATAGAAGCACTGACTTGACGTTGGTGTTGAAAATCCTGATGTTGTTCACGCTTTATGCTGAGTGCAGAAGATCTCTACACTGGTTTCAGGCTAATGAACGCTTGTCTTGCTTTTCCGATCCTGGCTGGCTTTGACGTCCTCGTGTGTGCGTCCCGTAGTTGAAACGATGCTGCCTAGATAGGTGAAGGAGGCTACTTCCTTCAAGTTCCTCCCGTTGACGGTGTTTGGAGGTTGGTGGTGTTGTTGGTTGGGTATCTTCATCACCTCTGTCTTCTCTATATTCACTTGAAGTCCCGTCTTCGCTGCCTCTTCTGTCAACTTGTTAGTTTTCGCCTGTAGATCTTCAAGTTTGTGTGATATCAGACACAAGTCCTCATATAATAGGTATCGGTTATTGCCTGCTGAACGAATGTGCACAAATTTTCTGAGTGCACCCTCCTCTCTCTCTCTCTCTCTCTGTACAGAAAAATACGCTTTCCAGTATTTCAATTTCATTCAAGTTGGTAAGGGACATACCATTGGAGTGATTTTCAGCAGACTGTATAGTCTTTTTATCGATTGCTTACAAACATGGGATATCAAATACAACAGAACATTGAGTTATAATTCAAGTGTCAATCAGTAGACTTTAA